ACTGTCCGTGCCACGTGTAGCCAAGTTAAGTGAGCTTCTTTTTCATTTTAATATTTTTGTGTGTACCTATCTGCGGGCTAGTAGTTCTATTGCCTCCTTTTCATTTTAATATTTTTGTGTGAACTTTGAAATTATATTTGCAGTTTGCTGATTGATAATTTATATACTAGCTGCTGCTTGTTTTTTTTTCTTGTGGATGTTATATATACTGCTGTATCTATAATTTTGTTTCTGAAATAAAACTTACGAGGGAGTTGCGCTCTGGATTTCCAGATAAACAGACAGAGCAAACAAATTAAATGAGGGACCCCGGCCCCACCAACACAGTTTTAAGATTCTAATTTCTAACAATCAATTAATTATATATTTGTTTTATTAATATAAATATACTATACTACTTAATTCCTAGTTATGGCAGCAACACCACCACAAGGGAGTTTATGCTTCTCAATTATAGTCTACATACATGGCGCGCCGCTTTCATTTAACTCAACCAATCATACATTAGTACAACTACTCTGTTTTGATACTATTTTGGGCCCAACAAATTTGAAAAGGCCCTCTTGTGGCAATAATTTTATTAATAAATCTGATGGGATTAGTTCGGTACCACTCGGCCGAACTCCCCATAATATTATTGGGCCAAAGCCCAATAGACGATATAGATTAGGCCCATCAAGACTAAACTACTTAACGGTAAGGAAGATCTCCAAATAGACAGTTGGCGCATGTAAAAGTACGTCGACATGCAATTATCTATATAAACGAATGTGTGAAACCCTATTAGGGTTACGATTCATTTATCAATAAAAATACTCTCTTTTAGTGTTATTTTCTTGTCGCCTAGTTCATCTTCTCCGGCGTTTATCAAGCGTTAGTTAGACTTTCCGACGACTAGGGGAATCGGATTTGGAAGATAAATGTGTATACCATGATGTTGTACTGTTAACACTACATGGTATGGTGTGGGCCCATTTTCGTAGGTCCATTTCAATCCCCAAGGTCCACTTGCATGACATTTTGTCATGTGGCTGTTGTTATATTTTGTCACCTTTATGACAACCTATATATATTTTCTTTTTGTAATTAATTAGGCATATCTCTTGGGCTATTTGTAATTTTACATTAATTAAAAATTTTGATAAACTAGTACTAAATGACATCATAGTTTGAACCTTTTTTTCAGCAAAATTACAACAAATTATATATTAATTTATCTATTATTCCATGACTTTGTTGACAAAAAAAAAATGTTAAAATTATCTGCAGATTTTATCGTTATTTCGTCAAAAAGTGCTTACTGACAAGGAGAATTGTGAGATGATTATATTACTTAATGCATAATATCAGTAATTTAATCACAGTTTTCAGATAAGAATCAGTCAAATTATCGAAGTTTAAAAAAAAAGTTACAAATTGCCAGCTGCTAATGACTATTTAATATATTATTTTATTGGGGTCTTAAGATATAGGTCCCTGGTGACAAAATTAATTTGAACTAAATGACAAGTTCAACTAAACATTTGCTTCACATCCTTTATTAAATTCATTCCGAAAATACCCTTTCACTCATTTTTCTTTTTTCAATTTTCACTCTAGCACTTATTACATTATTATAAACAATATCTTTTCCTTATTTTTCGAATTTCGCGTTTCGTTAAATAATTCAGCAGATTTTTAAAATACTATAATATACTATGTTGTACTATGGTTTACACACAACTATCAAAAAAATATTTTATTCTACAGACTATTTTCGTTTTTTTTTTGTTGTTGTTGTCAATACTGTATAGTAGACTACGGTATACTACAGTGTACTATGGTATATTAATTAAGGTGTACTATGGTATTCTACGGTGTACTATGGTATACTACATTGTACGACCAAACCCTAGCATCCTCAAAGCATCAGCCGTCAAACCCTAATAACCAACATCTGCAGCCGTCTCAACCCGTAGTCACCTACCAACTTTGGGAAAACCTAGATCTACCACTTTGAACACAAATCAAGCACAATCTCTTGAAGATCATGAAAATCATATTCAAATGGTAAAAAAATATATGTTTTCCATCAAATCTCTGCCATATAATCACATCCACGCCGCTGCCTCAACCACCACATCCCGTCGCCGCCTCGACCACCACGCGGCACAGCCCCCGCCGCCTCGACCACCATAGCAGCATAGCCCGCCGTCGTCGCCTCGACAATCACAACCCCTCACCCCGCCTCGACCACCACAACGGCACAACCCCCGCTGCCTCGACCACCATAGCAGCATAGCCCGCCGCCGCCTCAATAATCACAACCCCTCACCCCTGTCTCGACAACCACAGCCCCTGCCGCCGCCGCCTAAACCACCACAAACCTCGTCGCTACCTCGTCTATTATTGTCCCTTCATTGTGCTACTAGTCATGAAAACAAGAGAGAGATATAGAGATAGATAGATGAGAGAAGAAAAAATTGTAAAAGACGATGTGCAGAACCGTTTGAGAGATGGAGAGAGAGAGAGAGAACGTGGGAGAAAATTAAAAGAACGAAATTAATGAGAATTGGAGAAACGTGAATATATAAGTTAGAGAATTTAGGTTAAAAGGGCAAGATGGGATTAAAAAAAATTTAGGGATGTGGCTCATATATTATTTGAAACTAAGGATTTAATTAAAAAAAAAAATTCGACTTGTCATTTAGTTCAAATTAGGTTTTGTTTGAGGAACTTATAGCATATTACCCCTATTTTATATGGCCAATTTAATGTTAATTATAAGGTATTTAAATAGCATAAGATGCCAAACATGACACCGTTTCGAAAGCGACACGCGCACGGCTGATTTTCACTAAACATTGATTTATCCCTTGTTTTAATTTCAATTTTCAACTAATATATTTCTTTATTTAAAAAAAATATTACACAATCGAATAAAGAAATTTATTAAATAATATTTATTTAATCAAAATTAATTGATTATCTCAAATAAAAAAATTCAACCGCTATTGCATATGAAATAAGTCAATCCCATATTTATTTCTCCTTTGACTTTTAATTCCTCCTAAAGTGCACTAAAAATCAAGCCAAGTGATTATTTTGTCAAAGCCTTAAAACCATGGCGAAATAATCACAACTACTACCACAATATGAAATATTATATTTAATTAATAGTTTCCTTTATTATTCTTTTTATATGATTATTTGTCGATATACCAAAAGCTTAAGACAAATAAAATGTCTCTGTCTTTTGATATTATAGAGAGAAGTAACAATGATTTGTTTAATCCCATGAATCTCCGAAAAAAGGGTCATACTCATAAATCATAAATATGTTTCTTTCTTAGCATTTTATTTTATTTTATTAATTACCTTTTCATTTGTTGTACTAATATTTTTTTTTTTTTTTTTTGATAATGCAGGAACCCGCAGCCAACCATATAGGTGCACTGGGTAAACCTACACTCTCGTATAATAGCTTGCAAACCATACGAGAGATTTGTTGTACTAATATTGATAAATAGAAAAGATTATTCAATGTACATAGCTGGAGCTAGATGTCAAACGTTAAATCCAATACTCTTAGGTTGTCTAAATCCCTTACAAGTTACAAAATACTATTAATTGTGGATGATAATTAATTTATAAAAAAAATTAATAATGGAAATGGTACTTAGCTGTAAAGGAAGTGTGTCTAGTCTGAATATATATATCCATTGGATGTATCTATGGATGAACCAAAATTTAAACACCAAACAAACTAAACAAACGTGTGTTTGTCTTAATTTGCTTACTAATGGGAAATTGGTTCTATGTCACCACTCACCACATGTTGTATGTATTTTCTGTCCTCCCCAATTTCCTATTATTTATTTATTTATTTTCGACAAAAAAAGTTTCAAACTCGGGCTGATTACAGCAAGTGAAAGTCAATTTTCGAACGTATAAAAATACTAGCACATTCATCTATTCGTATTAAATCAATATACAATAAGAATCTAACCGTGACAAATAAAAATGAAATGCAGTATATTCTAAGAATCTATATACGATCGAACTTTCTTCCGTAATGCCTAGCATCCTTATTCTCTTTTCTTAACATGTGATTATAAATTTTTATCGTATATAATACTATTAATGTACGCATGCCATAACATATAAAATATAAATATACAATTAAAATTTATAATTCTTAATAGCATAGAATAAGTGGAAGTTACTACTTACAACAACAACACGCTAAAATATTATAATTATGTTTGAAAATGAAAAAATAAAATAAAAAAAATTCAATTATTATTTGTTAGCTTTTTGTTCGTGACATAGGAAAAATGATTACCCAAGAGTCAAGGATCTGAAAATTATGAAAGTGTGCAGCACATGAATAACAACTATATATGGCTAACCATTTTCTTGATAATTTAAAATAGTTAATTTTATTTGATGGACATTCAATTGGGTGCTTAATTACTTTTAAATAACTTTAATACTTTTTGTTATTAGATTAGTTGTTAATGGAAAATGATTGATGTAATTAGATTACAATCTAATCTTTTTTCAATTTTCGAATTTTTCCGAACTGTTTTTGGAAGAAACTGAATTATTTCGGGTCCAATTTTAATTTTCAAAAAAAAATATTTTTTTTCCTTTAAAAAATCACACATATAATATTAATTTTTGTATTTAGTATTACAGGTGACTAAAAAAATGATATTTACTCATGATGTATGTAATCCAAATGGGGATGAAGAAAAAGATTAGTAGAGAGGAAATGGATTACTGAAATAATTATGGAGAAGATTTACACAGATCCTCAACTAATTACCATTCAAATCCAGATTTTCATTTTGACCCCAAATTTGTAACCAAGTCAACGTCCTGCTTTTCACGCCGTTCCCCTCGCACCAAACACACTCACCACTTTCAACTTGCCCCTCTCTCTCTCTCTAAGAAATACTAATATAATATATTTATCCATATCTCTCTCTCTCTCTCTCTCTCTCTATCTATATTTTGTGTCTCTGTGTGTGTATAGACTTGTAGGCATGCTGCTGTTATTATTATCTTTAAAAGTCAGGAAAATAACGGCATATTCCTCTCTCTAACCTCTCTCTCTCTCTCTCTCTCTATCTTTCCTCTCTCTCTCGGTCTCTCTCTCTAACACACTTTTTAGTTATTTTTTAGGGAGAAATCCTCTAAACAACTCAATTGTTCACAACACTTGAAATTCTTCCCCCAAAAAAAACCCAAAATCAATTATTTTCTCATATGCATTAATCTGATTTGAGAAAACCCATGTAGTATTCCTAGATTATTACCTAGAAAACACAATTTCTTTAAAATCCGCTCAAAAAAAAAAAAAAAAAAAAGAGGAATCTTTGTTGGAAAATCCGTCCAATTTTGCTGGGTCTTTCTTTCTCTCTCGTCTGGTTCTTAAACGAACGGTAAGATGGTGGTGAAGATAATGAGGTGGAGGCCATGGCCGCCTCTTATTTCAAGGAAACATGCGGTGAAACTCACGGTGAAGAGGCTTGAGGGTGGGGATTGGGTGCGGGAGGGTGCAGAGAAGGATAATGAATCCCTTGCGGTGGAGATCAGGTGGAAGGGACACAAGATTTCTCTGGGCTCGTTCAGGAGGACGGTGAAAAGGAACTGCACTAGGGAAGAAATTGTGAAAAGGGCTCATGGCCCAAACGGCGGCGTTTTGGTTGAGTGGGATGAAGAGTTTCAGACCGTCTGCAGCTTTTCTGGGTACAAGGACAATGTGTTTCACCCTTGGGAGATCAACTTCACTCTCTTGCATGTGAGTTTTATTCTTCAATTTTTTTTATTTTTTGATACCAAGATCTTAGGGCTTCTGAATTTATTTTCTAGATTCCCCTTTTAATTTTATTGGATAATTTTGTTTATGTTGTTTTACTGTTCAATTTCAGATTCTTTTCCATGGGTTTTTCAATTTTTGGCCCCCCACCCCCCACCCTCTTTTTTTTTCTTTTTTTGGGGCTGATGTGATTGAACCCCATCTCCCTCTTTTTGGTAAAATCGAAATTCGATATGGGTTAATTGTTGTAAGATATTTGATTTACTTGTTTATGTGTTGCTACTGTATTTGGGTGTTCTATGATCTCTCTATTTGGAATTATTAAGATGGACTCTTAATTTCGTTCGGGGATTGATGTTCGTTTTAGGGTTGTATTCGTGTTCCGGTTTACTTGCAGTTGTTGTTTAATGTTTTAGATTCATGACTGAAAATGGGCAAGTTCCAGATCAGATTCTGATTGCCACTTAATTGCTTCCACATCTATAATTCGTGTTGTAGAATTTTCGAAAATCGACACGTTTTTGTTCCGCGCCATAATTGCTTGTGTATTTCCCTTTTTCTTTATTTTGCGATTACGTGGATACTTCTAGTTCATGCATGGTTGTTAGTTGAATTGCATTAATTGAACGGTTTCCAAATGACTGCTGCTAACCGATGTTTGGCATAGAATCTCAGATGCCTTTTGTTTTGTCCGTTAGTCCGAGAAGTTAATTTAGTATCGTCCGAACAACCACAAACACCGACGGTTGAGGATATAATGACAAAGCTTGTCGGCTTTGTGGAAATGATTGCCACGTGGACTAGTAAATCTATTTTTCTATTATGTTATATATAACGACCACGTGCCACGTATTGTTAACTAAATATTAGTTATAGCTCTATCCTTTTAAATTCTTGATGTTTCAGTATTTTAATCTTCTAGAAGCAGAGATTTGGTCGAAGAACTTCTATTTTGATAATTTTAGAAAAAAAAAATTGGTATTCGTTCAAAATTCTTATAGCGTATAATCTTTCAGGGCCAGAATTCAGGGCCGAAGAACAAGATCTCAGTTGTTGGTACAGCTGCCTTAAACATTGCTGAATATGCTTCCATGGCTAAAGAGCAAGAAACCGAAATCAAGATTCCATTAACAGTTCCTAATGTTGCTACTGAACAACGTCCTGTGCTCTGTGTAAGTAACTATGTTTTTGACATTATATTACAACCTTTAAATACACCTACTATAGTAGTAAATAAACTAATCGTCATATATATTACAGATATCTCTCAGGCTGCTGGAATTTATAGCTGCAAGAGAATTGGCAGAAGGGGCACAAAGTCCGATAATGCCAATTTCGTCGTCTTCTGGAGAAACTGGACCCGCAGAAAAAGAAGAGGTTTCTGCACTTAAAGCTAGTCTGCGGAAAGTAAAAATATTTACCGAATATGTCTCGGCTCGAAGAGCTAAAAAAGCCTGTCTTGAGGAGAACGGCAGTGAAGGAAGACACTCTGCCAAAAGTGAAGAGGAAGGTGAATATGGCTACTCCTTCGATTCCGATTCGCTCGAGGAGTTCGAGGAAGGAGAATCTGACGAAGGAGGGGGCAAGGTGGGCCTCACTGATAGGAAGTCGTGCAGTTACGGTACATTGGCTTTTGCAAACTATGCTGGTGTATCGAGTTATTCCAGTTCCAGAATCAAGAACGATGAGGATGAGGATTGGATTTATTACAGCAACCGCCGTAGATCGGATGTTGGCTGTGGCGCACATGTAGAGGATCTGAGCTCCTCTGTGCCTGAGCAATTGTTAGCACAGAATAATACTAAACGGAGTATTTTACCTTGGAGGAAGAGGAAGCTGAGTTTCAGATCTCCTAAAGCTAAAGGCGAGCCTTTGCTTAAAAAGGCGTACGGAGAGGAAGGAGGAGATGACATTGACTTTGACCGTAGGCAGCTCAGTTCTGACGAATCTGTCTCTTTCGGGGTAAGAAAATTCAAATGCAAAACGTTGACACTATTTTGTGAATTCAAATTTCTGATTCTTTCCCATTTATATCTCCTTTTTTTCTCAGTGGCATAAAACCGATGAAGACTCGAATGCAAATCGATCGTCAGTTTCTGAGTTTGGAGATGATAATTTTGCTGTTGGAATATGGGAGCAGAAGGAAATTACGAGCAGGGACGGGCAAATGAAGATTCATACGCAGGTCTTTTTCGCTTCGATAGACCAGAGAAGTGAGCGGGCTGCCGGAGAAAGTGCCTGCACCGCCCTTGTGGCGGTGATTGCTGATTGGCTGCAGAACAACCCTAACCTAATGCCAATCAAATCACAGTTCGACACCTTAATCAGAGATGGCTCGTTAGAATGGAGAAGCCTATGCGAGAACGAAACCTACAGAGAGAGATTCCCAGATAAGCACTTTGATCTCGAAACTGTCCTCCAGGCAAAAATCCGGGATCTTTGTGTGGCCCCTGCGAAATCGTTTATTGGGTTTTTCCATCCTGAAGGTATGGAGCAGGGCAATTTCGACTTTTTGCATGGGGCTATGTCGTTCGACAATATTTGGGATGAGATTGCCTCCTCCGAGTGTCCCACGGATGGCAAAGAAGAAGCACCTGTTTTTATTGTGAGTTGGAACGATCACTTTTTCGTACTCAAGGTCGAAAAAGATGCTTACTACATAATAGATACCTTGGGTGAAAGATTGCACGAGGGTTGCAATCAGGCTTACATACTTAAATTCGATCGAAATACAGCCATTTGTAAACTGCCAACTAGTACTAATCAAACTAATCAATCATTACAAGAAAAGAAACCGGTTGCTGACGTAGAGGAGAAAGAAAACGAGGAGCCAATCAAGAACGAGGAAGAGGAAGAAGAGGTTGTTTGTCGAGGTAAAGAGTCGTGCAAAGAGTACATAAAGAGTTTTCTGGCTGCAATTCCGATTAGAGAACTTCAGACAGATATTAAGAAAGGGTTGACTAAAAATTCGGCCCCACTTCATCATCGGCTGCAGATTGAGTTTCACTTCACCGAATTGAAAGAATCTTTTCCCTCCTGTTCTTTCCCTGCAGTTGTTGAAGCAGTTGATGTTAGAATGCCGGAGGTGGTTGCTGCTCTGCCTATAATAAAGACAACAACATAGGAAAATGGTGGTAACTGTACATTTTGAGTAGTGTGATTATAGCTTTTAACTTTTTTTAGTTTTGCTTCAGATGAATGAATGAATGGGCAGCAAAAGAGCATCCGGTTCATATTCCTCCAGTTCCTTACTTCTTTTTTTGTGTCTAGTGTTCAGAAATGTAACCATCTTTTACTAGGTGTGTGTTTTTTCGGTACACCGTTATTTCTGATTTCTAGTTTTCGTTTAGGTTTTTTTTCTGCATGGATAATTTGTTAATCACAGTGTATGATGGATGACCTCTATAACGTAACTTTCTGCTAATTAATTTGTGTTTAATTAATTAATTAATCGTTTATTTTAGATTATGAACCTTCTGTGGTTTGGTGCTGTTGTTTTTGTTAAGTTGATGAATTACCTTCAATTATGCTAATTTTTCACTTGGGAAAAATATTTAGAGAGAGAGAGATATATTTTATTTGAAGTGGGATTTTATTTGAATCTAATGCTAACCAACAAACTAGCTGCAAACAGAGCACTTAATCAATCCATTTTCGTTACAGTCGGGGCATTTTATCACCACCCCCTCGTTTCCCTCCTCGTTTGTAACCTTCCTACTACCGTTACACGTACAACACATCAAGAACCGAATGCCAGCACATCCTCTGCAAGGATTATTACACGAGCTAACTAATGGAATCCCTTGTAAGAGATTTTTCAGCATTCCCTTTTCGTGTAATCCGACCACTTCATCGGCCCCACCTATGCATCTCCCTCGTACGAAAAGCCTGGGAGGTACAACCCTGCCACCTAGGACTCCCCAAAGCTCCTCTCTGTACTCCAAATGCATGGACACATCTCTCTCCGAGTAAACCACCCGAAAACTTTCCAACAGAAACCTGATCGTGTTGCAGTCTTCGAAAGTCTTTCTTATTCCCCTCAGGCTCGTTGTATACAGTACTAGGCCGTCTCTCCCTCCAGGCGGACACCTGTCCTCCTCAAATTCTGGTACAAGTGGGAGGTTATTTTTGCACTCTGATACTGAAATTGTAGCACCGTTTTCTTCGGATTTTGACTCGAGCTTTTCTTGACTATCTGCATTGGGGGCTGAAAGAAAAGTTTCTTCTTTGACATGAGAAGGGATTTCGGACATGGTGAAATTTTCGATAATTAGTGTGGGAACGGTTTGCTTGACAAGATTTGAGGTCGTGTTTGTCTGAAACGATAAACTTGCGCCTACGACAGGCTTCCGAGTGGGAGTGGAGATGGATTTCAGTTTCCTCAGAATTCTTCCTCTCATGTTTTTCATTTCTCTAAACAAAGTTTTTGAGCAGAGATTATTGCATAATCAGACAACCAACTAAAGTGGCAGTGTCTGATAGATGGATAAGAGTATACATATGTGTGTGTGTGTGTTTCTTTCTACAATGTATGTAATACCATTGTTGAGTGTATTTCTATTTCAAGATTAAGAAGTTATAGGGTGTGGATGAATGTTTTATCTCGACCAATAAGAACAGCCCACGTCGGCACGAGGAAGGGCATAACCGTAATTTTGAAGATATAGAGATGTAACATTTGATAGTGGGGGGAGACAAGGTGTGCCATGGTTCATAATTCAATCACTAAGGAGCAAAAGCTAGCTTCCTTTTTTTTCTTTTCTTTTTCCACACTCAGACTTTGTGGATATAAAGTTAGTACCAGCCATGAGCCCTGTCTCACAATTTTCAACCTCTCAAAACTATTACAATTATAATTTATTTTTATTTACGCGATAATAATAATAATACACTGCTCGAAAAATAACAAATAACGAATCTTTTGAAGCTGTTCAATTTATTAGTTTCAATGATGGTTAAATTAAATGAAAAGTGCATGTTTGTTGGTTGATTGATTTGATTTGATGATTAATTTTCAACTTCCACCAACTAAACATCATTTCTAATGATGCATCAATTTCTAATTAGAATCTTGCTACATGTTTTGTTGTATTTGATCATAGTTTTATCATCCAAACAATTACAATCTACAATTGTTAAATCTAGGGCCGGGCATGGGTCGGTTTTATCGGCCACCTGACCCACTTTTCTTGGCCGATAACCGATAATTGACCGACCCATATACCGATAACCGACCCATTTTTTGGGTCGGGTAGATAAGTGACCGATAATAGTCCAACCTGACCCATACACAGTCCTAGTTAAATCATGTCTTCGGAACAATTATTACCATCCTCGTCCTAATTACTTTATAAAATTCCTCTTACTCAAAGTTAAATGCCAAATATTGCAATAGGATTTATTCATCAATGGAATTTTCAGTTTCATCACCTAAATAAAGAATACAAGAGAATAAATCACACGAAAACTTAATTCATAGAAATCTTCAAATTTTGTCCCGGTTGGTGATACAAACACGGGATTTCCTGCAAAATTTAGTTTGTATCCGTAACATTCTAACGACTCTCATACATTAACATCAAATAGAAATCAAATAATTTAATATATTCCACAATGCATTTCATTGCAAGAGAATATCGAAACAATTTATAAATTGCAATGCTTAATATCCGACCATGTATTTTGTTTGCTGCTCCCAATAGATTTTCGATTGCTTCACCATCTCAGCTCGTTCGGCGGTCATCCTCTCTTTCCAGTATTCCTTGCAACTATAAAAAATAAAAATAAAAAATAATTAAAAACTCGTGGTTAGTACTGAAATTAAAAAAAAACATCCGAGGTGAAATTTTTCTACTCACTCTTTCTTCAGGAGCATATCTAATTCCATCATGTGCACTGCGTTACTATATACCCCAGCCTGCATTTAAGGACAAAGATTACTGTTTAAGGCCGGTAAAACCAAATTAATTAACAGCAATTTGCACAATTAACTCTGAAATGCATATATATAAACATGTTAATCACCTCTCTGCAGATAGGGCATTTTGATTCTTGATTTGCAGACTTAGGGCCTTGGAATATCATAACCGAAGCCGCAGAGCAAGCACATGATTTACAGAAGAGATGCCCGCAACCCAAGGCGTAAGGATTGAACACTAGCTCCTAAAAATAATAAACTGCGAAATTAATTACTAATTCCAAGAAGAAAAAAAAAATTTAGTGAACAATAAAAAAAAAATAAGTGATCAGGAAAATGGATCAAACTCACCAAACAAATCGCACAAGTTAGACTGTATTCCAATTTCACAGAATCCGGAAGAGTCAAAGTCATCATTGGCTGCGTATCACTCAAATCAAACGAGAACGGATTAAGTAGCCCGTCACAGTTTCCACCATTCGATTCGTTAAAATGCATGTAGAAAGCCCCAAGCTCGATTAACCAAGGTGACTGCAGAATCTCCATATGCTCCGACCGCATTTTGGATTTGAACTTCCTTCCATTCGCAGTACCGTGTACCTAAAAATCGAGTCGTTAGTATAAACACAAGAATATCAAGAATACGATTAGAAACTAATGATAATGAATAACAGAGAACCAATTTATTATTGCTTACTTTATCGTACTTCTTGAGAATTTTCCGCATGGCTACAGCATTCATCATGACGTATTCGATCAGCATTCGACACTCTTGTGCTGTGGCTTGCTGTGGGCTAACGAAACACTGACGCAAAAATGTGAAATATTTGGGCAACCCACTATTGAAGTGAAATTGGAGAAGGCGTCGAACTCGTGAACTAAAGCATCCAGCTATATCGGAAGCCTCCTTCATCAATTCGGAGAAGAATTTCTGATCACACACTACAATATGGGAAAATAAAAATGTCGATGAATTTGCGAGAAGCCGTATAAATATGTCAAGAAATCATCATTTGAAATCGTGAAAAAGTTACGCATACGGAACATAACGTGCAGAACTTGAAATAAAACGACTCGATTACAAACCGATAAGTATATGGTGGCTAATAATGATTTTTCATTGCAGCTCCGTTTTTTCCAACTCGATTATATATTTAATACATAGTCTTGACTTATAAATCATGCATTTTTTCAGTCCCATTGAATTGATTATTTCAGGTTTATAAACAATGAAAATTTTGCAACAACTCTTAAATCATAAATATAAATTATCCTCTCATTTTCAACATCAACACCCCCAACCATTGCTACACAGCAACCATAAAAAGAAAAGAAAAAAAAAATCAAGCAATTATAAAAAATACAAAGTAATAATATATAAATAAATTAATAAAAGATTACTTACATGGGCAGGAGTCGTATTGGGAGAACTGAGACAAAGCCCCTTCTTCACCATTGTTATCATCAGAGAAATCCTTGATAGCTTTGCATCTTCTGCAACTTTTGAGCACTTTTTTCAGGCGCTTGTATTCCACGTAGCAGCACTTCTCCACAAACCTCTCTTCATTCGTCTGCAAATACTCCGTAAACGTTTCCCCAAATTTCATCCCGATCGATTTTTTTATTTTTTTTTATTTGTTTCCTCCCCTACAAAATTGTTGACCATCAATAGAAATTTGGTGCCCTAACCCTAATTAAATCCCTCTCTCGAAACCGAGATTGTAAAAAGGGAGAAGAAAGGATTTTTCGAAATTGAATTTAATTTGCTTTAATTATGAGTCAACTCTCGATTACGGATATGATAATTAATAGGATTAAAAGAACAGAGGAAAAAGGAATCGGAAGAGATTTACACCGACGAGAAAAAAGACGTTATGATTTTTTGGGTGGCGAGAATGGCCGACGCGGCGGGGCGGTAGTAGTAGACCTATGCATGCACTGCAAGAGCGCACGTGCTTTTTAAGTCTCAGGTGAAATTTGACACGTGCCAAATCAAAATCCAATTTCCTGGTCTTTTCTCGCAAGTGACAACTCATTGTGGTCAAATACTTGCTGTACGGCTCTTTTAATTGTCAACCTTATTATAATTAATTAATCAAATTACATCGATATATTATAGTAAATCTAATTGCACTTATGATTTTTAACTTTTTTGTTGTAAATTATTTTATAAATTTGAAACTTATTGCCAAGTGGGTACGAGTAAGTGAATTTGGGCCATGGATTTGAAATCCAGTTGGTCCAAATTCATGTGTGTAGCCCATGGTTTAATTATTCTATAATTTTATAAAAAGACATTTTTATTTAGAAAATACTTGAATAATGTTCAAATGGTTGATTCATAATTTAATTATTATTATTAACTTATAAACATATGTATTATTGCATACGTATTTTGGGACTTAAAAAGCAAAAGGGAAATGCTTTACCTACGCAACTTTGCATCAAAACCCCCTACTATTAAATAAGAGATATTTCTGCTTTTGTCATATAAAAAAGAGCAAGTTGAGAAAAATAATGGGGACTAAAAGACATGTTCTTATTCCTTTTCAAGAAAGATTATTACACCCAAAAAGTGAAAAAGAAGACACACTGATTATACAACCACAATCCAAAAGTGTAAATCATTAGTGTTGACACCAGATATCGTCTATGAAACTTGCTTTGTTGATAAAGATCGACAGTGATTTTACTTGATGTAATTGTTAGAAATTTTATTATATGATCCGATTTTTATAACACAAATTGCACATAGAATTAACGTGGTTTGCATTCACGGGACCAACAAATTGGACTTTTATTGTCAGACAAAAAATCTCACACTCTCAAAAAAAAAAATATATATATATATATATATATTTAGAAATAGAATATAAAAATAAAACTCCTTAATTATAATCAAATAGTATGTACTGTATATAAAGATGAACACACTTAATTTGAAGGCAAGAAGAAGAAGAGCAGTTGATAATATCAGCATCAACAGTTGTCAATGACAACAGGGTTGTGGTCTCTGATCACCAAAACCCCAAAAATGGCGTTCTCTAGAAAACCTACATGCACTCTCTTCTTCATCCTAACCCTCTCCGCCCTCGCCCTCTACACTACCCTCCGCCACCACCATCACCACCCTCGCCCTCCCTTCGCCGCCGCCGCGAAAAACCCCCTTTACTACCGCAATATCTTCCTCTCCACGGCCAACAACTACACCATCGCCGGATATCTCCGAAACCTAACCCTCCACCCCCACCTCGCCGGCACTCCCCTCTCCCTCTCGACCGCCGTCTACGTGCAATCGCACTTCCAAACCCTAGGCCTAACCACCCACATGACCAACTTCTCCGCCCTACTTTCCTACCCCACGCGCTCCTCTCTCTACGCACGCTTTATCAACGGCACTGTTCACCCCGTCCCCCTCTCGGAGCCCGACGTTCCCCAAAACGGCGTCGTGCTGCCGTACCACGCTTACTCCCCCTCCGGCACCGCGTACGGCGAGGCGGTGTTCCTCAACTACGGCAGGGATCAGGACTACCGCGCGCTGGGTGTAGATGTCAAGGGCTGCGTGGGGTTAGTCCGCCGGGGTTCCGGGATGTCGAGGTACGAGGTCGTGCGAAACGCGGCGGCGCACGGTGTGTCGGCGGTGCTAATGTACACCGAGGGTGAGTGTAAAGAAGGGGTAGAGAGGGGGACTGTGATGAACGGCTTGGGCGACCCACTTAGCCCCGGTTGGGCCGGGATTGAAGGTGGTGAGGAACTTGACTTGAACGATCTACAGGTGGCCGAGAAATTTCCAGGTTTGCCCTCGTTGCCCATATCGGAGACGGCGGCAGAAAGTATAATTGAGTCGTTGGAAGGGGAGAAGATGCCCCATCAGTGGATGGAGAGTTTTCAGAGTGGTAATAGAAGAATTACTCGGGTGGGACCCGGCCCGACTATGCTCAATTTTACGTACGAGGTTGGTTGAATCTTTAAGTTTATGTTTGTTCTTTGATGATTAATCTGCTTATGTTTGGTTTTCCAATGATAGTCATTTTCTGTTTTAATGAAATGAATTGCTATTGTGGTTAATCCTAGTGGTCCACCCCTTCATTTGAAACAGCACACACCTTCGATGTTTCGACAAGACTCTAGTTAGTTAACCTTCGGTGTTAGGTTTGGTGTGACGAGCTTTTTGTTAATTGAACATGACAATTGTTGGTTCTTGGATTGTAGCTTTTGTTGTTATGTTAGAAGTCGGATTCGGTTGCTAATAGGAGAAAATTAATTGAAAGTTGACTTTAAGTAAGTGATCAACAAATTAATAAATATGGAAATTAGGAAGTTGCTTTTCCTTTCAATTTTCATGTCCGTTTGTTTCTCGAAAGGTTATAAAGGATGGGTGATTTGGCAATCAAGTATTTTAGCTTACTGATGATTTCGCTTTCCTAAATACTAACCTTGATAAATTTTAGATAGTTTTTGTATTTGGATCGTAATCTGTTGTCGTCAGCAGATATGAGAAGTAATTGCTTGTTTATCATAATATTTATAGAATAAGTTAACTGTTATTACTTGTTAGGGTGTCCTATTCAACTTCTAGTTGAAAATTGATGAGTAAACATGATTAATTTCTTCAGATCTCATAGTATTTTTTTATCTCCATCTTTTGATTTTGGTTGCTTCAAGAATTGTTTGTGAATAAAAGGTCTACATAAATTCACTGAATAAGCTCAAAGTATGCAAACGGCCTGATAGAAAATGTGAGACACCTTACATATTATTGGCAAGACATTAATTAAAATCTGTAGTTATCCTATATAGAAACATAATTACATGACTTCGATTCTTGGAGTCCCCTTTGACCGTCTTCTCTCGGAAACTAATTATTAACCCGGGAAATTATGAAATCGTTGAAAAAAGAGAATGAATCAAAATATAGCGGCTATTCTTCTTTCTGCTCCGAACTAAAATACGCTTCTGGCAACTCTGATTTTTTTTTTTCATTCTGTGTACAGGGCGAGAAAAAGATGGCAACCATCCATAATGTATTTTCAGTTATAAAAGGATCAGAAGAACCGGATAGAGCAGTTCTTTTAGGCAACCATAGAGATGCATGGACTTATGGTGCTGTTGATCCTAATAGTGGAACTGCTGCTCTACTTGATATTGCCCGTCGATTTTCTCTTCTAATGCGTTTAGGTTGGTATCCAAGAAGAACAATCATTCTTTGCAGCTGGGATGCTGAAGAATTTGGGATGGTAGGTAATATTCTATTATCACCTGCTATTATTACCAGCACATCCGAATCCGATGAATGAACCACGCAAAATTTGGGTTACAGTTATTTTTCAAAAAACACCAAAAAAACGTACTCCATAAATCATCTGATTTTGTCCTCTAGAGTTTTTTGTCCTTGCATTTCGAATTCTAGATATAGACATGTGGAAGTTGTTTTTTTTATGAAATCTGAAATCCGACTCATCAGTTCGGTTATTTTGGGTTCAGATTGGATCAACTGAATGGGTTGAGCAAAACCTTGTGAATCTTGGTTCCAAAGCAGTGGCCTACATTAATGTGGATTGCGCAGCTCAGGGGCCTGGTTTTTTCGTGAGTTCAACTCCTCAGCTAGATGACCTTATTGTTGAGGTAACAAAGCAGGTAATCTCGTGTTTCTTCGAAGTGAAATCAAGAAGCTAATCGACTCAAGTAATGGCATTTTCTTATGTAATAATCTTGTGGAAATGTTGTCGACATGTCTGATACAGGTTAAAGATCCTGATGCGGAGAATTTATATTTACATGAGCGGTGGGCAGCTGCCAACAAAGGTGTCAATGTAAGTTGTTTTTGTATACGACTGAAAATGCACTTTAAATATTTAGTACTGATGTTTGGTTTCAGTTCTTATAACTTCTTTATCTGCATATCGAATGGAAAATTGCTTGAAGTAAAGTCATAGTTAGTTGCTAACTTAACTGAACCAAGTAGGGGTCAGATAGCTTTGGGGCATCACATTTTAATACGATCTGATTCTCTTTTTTTCTTTTTCTCCACTCGGCTCTCGTTTGATCAATCCTTGATGTCCCTATTCCTAAAGCCATGTCTTAGTGATTATTGTTTTCATTTGTTGGGCAGCCGATTCAGAGACTCAGCAGAGTTGATTCAGATTTTGCTCCATTTTTGCAACATGCTGGGGTTCCTTCTATTGATTTATACTTCGGAATTGGTATATTTCTCAACCTTAGTTCGTTTCACTCGATACTTTGAAAATAGCAGTTAAATTTGATCATCTGGACTTGATTGTTGGGACTTTCCTCTTGGTAATAGTAATTTTTGTGCATGGATTTCCGAAAGTAATATTCACTGTCATGCAGATTTCCCAGTTTATCATACAGCTTTTGACTCCTATGATTGGATGGTGAATGTTGGGGACCCCTTATTTAAGCGGCATGTAACAGGTAATATTTTTTATTTTTTTTTGTGACTGCATGAAACTGCTATTATTTCCGAAGCATTTGACATGTGCTAGCCTAGAACCTTCTTTATCATATAGTCTCACTTATTTTTCCTATTTGGGGCATCAGCGGCAGGAATATGGGGACTCGTTGCACTTCACCTGGCTGATGATCCGATTCTGCCTTTTAACTACCTTTCTTATGCTACTGAATTGCAGGTAAAGATTTTCTTCTATTATGATGATCCAAGTTCTTATTTTATTTTTCTATGTTTTCATTTTCTTCCTAAATATTTTATGATTTTAGATTTCTCATTTATGTCCAACTTATGTACTCTTTAGGAGTATAAAAACGTGCTGAATGAGTTATTGGGAGGCACAATCTCGTTGGATCCCATTGCTGATGCCATCCAAGAATTCATCACCGCTGCAAATGTAACCGAGGAAGAAATCAAGGTTAGATGAAAACTTCTTCTCAAAACTCCCCATCCTGAAGTAAATTTGTGTACACTAGCTAGATCGCACTTGTATTCTTGTATTGTTGTTTTAGGCTCGGGAATTTGAAATTTCCATGAAAAAAGTAGAATAGAATAGTTCTCTTGTTAAAAGGGCATCATCATCCCTTTTCTAATTTCAAACCGTAGAAACTGAGGGTGGATCAGAGCTCGGACGAATCTACAGTATTGAGGAGGCGCATGTTAAACGATCGACTAATGCTTACTGAAAGAGGCTTCTTAGATCCCGAGGGTCTCCCCGGAAGGCAATGGTTCAAGCATCTTGTGAGCATATTCTTCGATGCCGTTCATAGAACAGTATTTTCCTTTTTTTTTTTTTTTTCTCAACCAATGATGTTTTTAAAAACGTACAATGCAGATATATGGGCCTCGTGGGGATAGTGAAAGCAAGATTGATTTTTTTCCTGGAATAGGTGATGCAATGTCTGAAAGAAGAGGGGAGAAGGAAAGAAAGGCAATGATTACGCACGAGATGTGGAGAGTTGCTAGGGCCATTCAAAGAGCAGCTACTGCTTTGAGAGGCGAATTCACCTGATTGATTCATCGATCGATCGATAGATCACTCAAGGCTGGTGGAGTTGTGTATATTATTATTTCAAATGTTTTCTTGCTTCTCTTCAAGTTCAATTCCTTGCACCCCTCCCTCCTCTCATCATTCATTGAAAATTTGAAGGATTTAAAATGACAAAATGTGAAGATTTTGAAAACTCAAAATTAAAACTTCAAACGAGAAGTGTTAAATCCAAAATTAAAACATATTTGCCAAATTACCAGATAATATAGATAAATTCGTATATGGATTTCCAGAATGTTCAAAACCATATACTACTGAAAACTCAATTTTCCGAAAAAAAATATTTAAAATATTTTACAAAAATTAAACGCTCCAGGTAGGGGTCGAACCTACGACTTTCTGCTTAGGAAACAGACGCTCTATCCACTGAGCTACAGGCGCTTTTGTTATATCAAACGTACATTGTTTTATACTTACGTTAACATCCCTTGGGCCGTTTCTTTCGCTTACTGGGCCTACTTTACCTTTTTGGACCGTTCGTTTTAATTTATGGGCTGCTTATTTGGGCCGTTTCTTTCCTTTATTGGGCCTATTTCTATTGCCAATTTGGCCTGTTTCTCTCACTTATTGGGCCTATTTTTTTCGTTTCTCTTATTGGGCCTCTTATATGGTCTTATTGGGCCTAATTTTTTGCCTGATTGGCCCATTACTTTGACCCTCTTTTATGGACATATTGGGCCTATTTTTTGCCTGTTTGGGCCTCTTCTATGGACTTATTGGGCCTATGTTTTGCTCATTTGGGCCGTTTCTTTCGCTTATTGGGCCTATTATTTTGCCACTTTGGCCCGTTTCTTTTCCTTTTTGTGCCTCTTGTTTCGATTCGCCCACTTATTTTGCTTTTCTGAGCCTCGTTTTGGGCTGTTCTTTCATTTTGGGGGCCCCTGCTATTTCCTTATTGGGCCAATTATTTTGCCATTTTCGGGCCGGTTCTTTAGGTTTTTCGGTCTCTCTTTTCTCTAGGTTTTTATCTCATGCAGTACAATAGAGTTTCAATTTATGTAGTCACTATTACGTTTTGTTTTTTACAAGTTAAATTTTATCCGCTGTAAAAAACAACAGGATTGATTGTTTCTTTAACAAGCTCACCACCACCAACCCCCTTATTTCGTTAAAGTCTTCACAAGATACAACGAAAACAAGGGGATATGAAATCTGAAAGGCAGGAGACACTACGGAAGGCCTAACTATACCCCACTTTACAACCCCATAAACCAAAAATCTCGTCATCATGTACATGAACGAAAGCAACTAAATTTGGGAAGATGAGAAGCAAAGACTAGTTTCAATAAAAATGATTTAAGACCAAAATATCAGAGAGCCACAATGGGTCTCGTTTCCCTTTCCTCTCATTCCGGTATTCTCAGACTCAATTGTATAATTTCACCGACTTCTCATATGTGTGGCGGTTCTGCAACTATCAAAACCGTAAAGGAGTTAAAAGAAGCTTCAGCCCAATTCAAGTCGAATATACTTCAGCTTTCAATAACATGGATAAATGCCATTCTAAGGTATATTTACCTGGTTAGAATACGCCCTTTTAGGACTAGTATCCGAGTGCTCTAACCCCAGGTACTGCTCCCAAGCACCATAAACATCTCTTCTCTGGAAAAAGAGGAACACATTCTGAGTCTTGCTACCGAATTTTTAATAACTAAATAATTAGCAAGATAAAGAAAATGTTACCTGAAAACGACTGGAAACAATGTCAGAGTCCTCAAGATATTCCGGACGTCCCAATGATAAGAAGGCAAACTTCCACTGAGTATTGAAGTAAAAAACCAAATGATCAGAAATAATACTAGAGTCCTATTTAGCAACCAGGGAAAACTTTTAGGAAGTTAAGTGGTATTAGTCAGTGAACACAACGTACCTTCAAGAACTCCTCATCTGCAACCTGCAATTTCTTCTGAATTCGTGCTTTAATCTCTGCTAATGTTTCACTTTCATGGATGACCAGAAAGAATGGTTCCCCAAAATTCTGGACTTGCTGCTTAGGGACCCAAAAATAGATTAAGAAATGCAAACTGTAAATATATGTGTGTGTGTGTGTGTGTGTGTGTGTGTGTGTGTGTGTGTGTGTGTGTGTGTGTGTGTGTGTGTGTGTGTTTGTGCATAGGGTAAAACTGAAAGATAAAGTACCGCTTGATTCTGGGCACTATCCTTCGTGAAATGGTAAACATGAATCAGGCGATCGTTAGGCCCCAAGTTCTTTTCCTCTTCTGGAATCTGAGATAAGGAAAAAACATTGATATATAATAAGCTGCATGAAACAAGTACCTTGAGGCAAAAGAAGTTTGTACATGGAATCTGAAATGCCCAAATGTTACATTATCATTTACAATTTCCACTAAATATAACTAAAAAAGTTACTGTTGCTGCCGCTGCCTGAACTTTTGAAACAATGGTCAGAATTCATCTTGTTGATAATAATATTCAATATTCAGTTTCTACTCGTGAAGCAACATGGTTCAACTGGCACTACAGTGTAGTAAGAACTCAAGCAAAGAGAGCAAGAAAACATTTTGAAACAAGGTAAATCACCTCCTCAGCACGCAATGTCCAGTACTGGTCATTTATGTTCTCAATCTTTTCGTGCATAGGAAAAATCTGCAAAATTCAGAGAGTCCAATGTGGATTAAGCCACAAAATAGGTGTCTATCTCAGTCAAAATATAATCATTACAAAGAGGGAAATCTGCTAGTGGGAAGGGAAGTTTCATGCAGTCCAAGTCAAGGAGCAATTCTCCGGGCACGATATACAAAAGCATACAAATATCAGGTCGGTTAACAAGATTTCTGTGAGCATCTAGTTATAAACAAAATCTAGATATATGATATACAATGAAACACACAAACCCTCCTCAAGAATAAATCTTTACACAAGGAATTCCATAGTGTGAGCTGATTAAGCAAAATTTTAAACAAACTAAGAATCAAAACAATGTCAGAGCAGATAACATTACCTTGTAAATTTTGTGATAGAAAACTTCAAGCAACCTAAGTTCAGCACTTGGATGAGACAATTCTACCTATTGGACGCAAAGGAAGTGAGACCATCGTGATTAGTGATAGTTATGCTATATAAAGTCATCATCAAGGAAACTTGCTTAATAAAGTTCAAAATAAAAAATAACAGAGGTAGAGAAAAGATCAGTTTAATGACAGGTTAACTTCATAATTTTCCTCATTCTTTCCCCGATAGTACTCAAGAAGTATGTAGTACAACTTGCTCGGAGCACCAAACCAACCTTTGTTTTGATTTCATTGATCACATCTCCGACAGTGCTTGGTTTAGGCAATCTGATATTGAGGATTATAGCCTGAAAAAACAAACAATGAGTCATTGTTAAATGATTTCGTATAAGTACACTTGACAAGGATATAATAAAGGACCATAATCATATTGAGACCTCGTCCTTTGTGGCATGATGGAAGGCAACTTTCAGCGTTTTGAGGCACTGCAACTCTGGAAGAGGAATATCCAGTACTTCATAGTACAGTATATCCGATATCTATTATAACAGACCAAATTATCTTTAGACCAGCAATTGTAACATCACACACAATCCCACCTCAACCCATACCATCCCACCAAGACACAAAATGAAGAAAAGAGAGAGAGTATGTCAGGGCAAACCTGATTGTAGTGGACAAGCATGCCTAACAAATGATCAACTGCTCTGTATTTGATAGGATTGGGCTTTGGTTGCTGAGAATAGCAGTTATGTGGAGTAAGCCGAATTTTAGACGATTCATCTAAGCCAAGGTGCTGGGCAACCTTTTCCACAACATCATCATAAGTGTGATTCTTAGCTCTGTGGAATGCCAAAATGGTCAGAGTCAATTTTGCCCAAATTTTCAACCAAAAAAATGATAAAAAGAGATACGGGCAGATCAGAGTCCACAACATTCTAGAGACTGATGTCAGACAATACTCACAATTCTAGGCAAAATTCATCTTCTTTGGGTCTCTCCAAAGCTCGAAAATGCACAATCTGCATACAAGAAATATACATTGAAAAGCCGTTGGAATTAGAAAGACGTATAAATGCATAATAATAGCTTTTCCAAAAATGATTTACAAAGAAGGAGAACAACAAGCTATCATGTCAAAATGCAAAGACACTAAGAAAAGACGAGCAAGTAACTGGTACACCTAGAAGTGGCTAAAAAGAGAAGGCTACTAAAGTTAATAGAATAAACTAAAGACTATTGGCAGCAAATGCTCAGAAGATGCAGCATATTTGGTGAATAACAATGAGTCTTTGGTTCAATCGAATTTGATACAATAAAAGCGTCTCAAGACCACCTAAAAACAAGAAAGGAAAAACGAGAGAGAAAAGAGGGGAAAAAAGACCGACCTGGCGATTTTTCACGTATTCCAAATATGAAGGAACATGAGGAAATCGGACCTGCCCCTCACTCTCAGGTGGAGGTCGTTTCTGGAAGCAAATAATGTCCCCATCTTCGATCTAAGGCGGAGAAGAAAATGAAGGAGAACGAGTGAGCATATTATTAAGAGGAATATGTTCAAATCATTAGAGGTACATAAAAAATCATAAGAATAATAAATACATGACTAGACCGAAATGAAGCTTTTCTATCAAGGGGGTCACACATGACAGATGGCTCGTATTTTATTTCCTGAAAAATAAACAAGAAGATTGCAGAACAATGTTACTTGCATCTCAAATAGCCAAAAGTAATACATCTAGTCCATTATGTTTAACATGTTTTTATGACTAATAGCATACATCAAGACATACTGGAATGCAATCAATAGATATACCTCAAAAAGATCAATCTCTTGACTACTAGCAAATCCAGCCATTTCATTTACTTTTTCCAGGATCTCACTTGGCTTGGTGGAGCTTTTCACAAAAAGCCTTCCAACATATCTGGAAACAGAAAATGAATCAAATGATAAGGTGGCGGGCAGAGTTCCAAAGATTAGTACTAAAAAAACACAAAAATAAATGATTTAATTAAGGTACCGGAGCTCTTCCTTGTCGGGATCATAAAGCTTAAAGAACAGGAGTATGTCTTCCTTATTTTTTTCTGGGGGAGGAAGCATATTTAAATCCTACAAATTCAACACAAGAAAAACAACCACATATGAACAACAAAAGTTAACCAATACTTTAGAACAGTTGATACTTGGTTGTAACTATTAGAGTCAAATTTGATTTTCTTTATTTTTTTAAGTTCTACAATGTTCACATTTAAAAGCCTACTTAGGTCATCTATAGTGTTAATAAAGAGATACCGGTCCATGCTCTACTTCCAAGAACAACTTCAGCTCTGCATTATGGTGGGCCTTATTGGAAACTTCCCTCAATGCTCCAACCTGCACAAAATAAGTATGAAACCAGAAAAATAAAATAAGATTGGAGCATATACAGCATGTCTCACAGAAATTGATGAGGTGAAGTTATCAAATCAAATAAGGAACGAAGCAAAATCAGCTCAGAAGGCAAATTATCAGAATCATGAAAAAAGAGATGATAACCAAGAATCCTACGTGCACAGTTGAAGTTGAGCAAAAACATCACAAATAAGTTAATTTATGCAGAAAAATTGATTTATTAAAGCTGAGCATCCATTTGTTTTCATGCACTATAAGGAATGACAGTATCCTATCATTTTTAATATACAAAATGCAAAGATTTGAATTAAGTATAATCACAGTTTGTGCTTCCTCCTGTGGTGTCAATGGCCTGTTTGGACGAAATGTATGGTTCTGTCTTCTTGCCCATATCCAGAAGCGCTGAAATTGAACTGGTATACCAAATTCTTTAGCAACCTCCTCCTTCAACAAACATAGAAATTACTGAGAAAATTCACACAAGACGTTAAAAATGCTTCATCTTATGGGGGAAAAAACATACACATACAGACATGCGGTGCAATAAATGGAAATCAAATGTGATGAAAGAAGAGAGGTAATAAAAAACTATAAATAATACTCCAGAAACTCAAAACGAGGGGGGGGGGGAAATTAATTGCTGACTGTGATGGTAAGGTCTCAGGACACCGTAGCGAGGTGACAGAAGAGAATGGAAGATTAGGATGATACTCAAAGAGTTATTTATACAGAAAAATGGTATAGTTTCTTAAGTCAATAAACAACAGCGTCAACCTGTTAAACATTCATAAGATATTTATCAAGTATCTACAAATTCTTTTACAGGCAAGGGCGCGATTTATATATTACATAATCAGAAAACGAATAATGAATAAGAAAAGTGAGTACCTTGAAAAGGTTCAAAGGTGTCTGTTTCTGGATTCTGAAGTTATGGACTTTATCATGATCAACAAGATCGAAATGAATATCCTTTC